AAAAAGAATTGTATTTACCTCTTTAATACCCTCTAAGAGAGTCTGAAACATATTAGAAGCTCATTACACAATTTTCAATTATAAACTGTGTATTATTCAGAGCTCTCCAGAGAAACAGAACCAATAAGTTATACATATACAGTTGACCCTTACCCTTGAATAATGCAGGGGGGGTTAGGGGCATCAAGCCTCTGCAGAGTTAGAAATCTGTGTATTACTTTTGGCTCCCCCCAAAAACTTAATTTTTAATAGCCAAATGTTGACTGGAAGTCTTACTGATAACATAGTCACTTAGTACATATTGTGTATGTTATATGTATCACATAATGTATTCTTACAATAAAGTCAGCTAGAGAAAAGAAAATCACAAGGAAGAGAAAAAATACATTTATAGTACTGTACTGTATTCATTGAAAAAAAAATCCACATATATGTAGACCAGTGCAGTTCAAACCTATTGTTCAAGGGTCAGCTGTATATGTGTGTATATACATACATACAGAGAGAGAGACAGAGAGAGAGAGAGAGAGAGAGAGAGAGAGAGAGAGAGAGAGATTTACTTACTATAAGGAACTGGCTTACACAATTATGGAGGTTGACAAGTCCCAAGATCTGTAGGGTGAGTCAGCAAGCTGGAAACCCAAGAGAGCTGATAGAGTAGTTCAGGCTCGAAACCCAAGTGGATTTTTTAGTTGAAGTTCAAGGACAGAAAAAGCCATGTCCCTCAGTTCAAAGGCAGCCAGCCACTCAAGAGGAATTCTCTCTTGCTCAGGGAAAGCTCAGCCTTTTTGTTCCATTCAGACTTTTAACTGACTGGATAAGCCCCACAAACATTAGGGAGGGCAGTCTGCTTTATGATTGAAATATTAATCTTACCCAAACACATCCTCACAGAAATATGTGCGACCAAATATCTAGGCACCCAGAGGCCCCAGTCAAGCTGACACAAAATTAACCACTGTATCCTGATAAATATTTACATCCTCTAAATGAAGGTAGCAAGATAAAGCGATATAACCTCAGTGAGAATGAGCTAGCCTGTCTTTCTCCCTGACCAAAGCTGAGCTACAGAGTTAGGGTTAAGCCCGAGGAGAAAAATCCAGAATTCAAACAGCCTACATCATTAGTAAGTTTTTGGTTAAATGACAAGAGGAAGCACGTTTATCCCCAAATGGACTCCCTGCCCTCACAGTGCTTAGGGAGTATATCAATTTTTTTTGAGCTCCTGCTTCCCTCCATGTCCTTGTCATTCCATGAGGGGAAAGCACTGGTTAGCCAATTGGGCCACCTGGGTTTAAAGTCCTTTTCAAATCTGAGGGAGAGACAAAAATTGCCTCTTGGCAATCCTTCCAGGGCTCACACTTGTGGCTGTCTGAAGAACCCTGACAAAACCTCAATTATTTTCATACTAGAGAAACTCTGAATTTGATGAAAAGTTAAAAACAGGAAGCCTGAATTGTTCATACTTGGTTGGACAACTGCTTCCAAATGCATCTTAATTTCATGAAAATACCTGCCTGTCCCAAACCCCATGTAAGGCAATGATGCCCTCCCCTAGTTCCTGCTACTTACTAGCATTTAAAGTATCTTGATAAAGAAGGTAGAAGGGGCAGAAGCTGTGACCGCTCTTGCGGAGTCTTGGTGGGGAGGAAAGAAAAATAGGAGTGCTATCTCGTCTTTTCGGTAAATGGTTTGGCCCTGAGGTCAATCTCCTTCGTATCCATGTGATGAGCTAAACTCTATCTGAAGCTGAGAAAAAAATTATTACCATGTAAGATTAGATGAACACAGAATTTAAAATGTAGCCTTAAACTTCCTGGGGAATGCCAGGTCATGTAGAGACTGGTGTATATATGATATCGTTCAAAGCAATGCCCACGATAAGCATGCAATGCATTCAAAGAGGGCTCATACAAGAAAATGCAGGATCAATCACATTATGGGATGAGAGGAAAACAAAACAAAAGGGGGACTGGTATCTACCCTTGGTACAAAAGCAGGAAACACCTGACTTTAGGACCATGTATACCTTCACTGCCCAAGTTCTAGGACTATGTCAGGTTTGACTATGAAATGCAGCCATATCTGGCTTGATAAATTCAAGCAGAATCTACAACCTTCTTGAATGCACACTTGCCTTATGGAATTTAGAATTCAATACTTTAAATCCTTGATGGACATGTAAAGTCCTAGAAAAGGGGAAGGTTTTCTTTCTATAGCTAGTGATTAAGTGAAGGATAGGAAATAATTTGGAAAAGTTAGTTCATGTCAAAGATCTTCATGAAAAAAGATGACGGTATTCCCAGTATCCCATATGCTTCCCAGAATTCACAAGAAAACATTTTAATCTCTTGGCAGAGTATTCTGGGTAAAATGACAGAGTCATTATTTATGTCACATTTATTTAATGTACAATCAGGTAAACTTTATGAAGACAGGAATTTCTCTGATTTGTTCATCTAGAACAGTATCTACCACATAGGCACCAACGATGTTTTTAACTTCTATTACTATTTTTTTTTTTTTTGCAGTATAACTATAAAGGTCATACCAGGCCCCTAGATCCTTGAGATTTCTCTCTACTTGTATCTGTTACCTATCTCTCTCTCTATACATACATGTATAGGTAAATGTGTATGTGTATGCGTCTGTATTTATATACACTTGCATATACATATTTGATAGATGTATATATATATATAGATTTACTAAATCATTTGTATCTTAGAAATACAACTTATATTATGATGCTTCCTTTGAACATCCAGAACTTACACTTCCACCATACATTATTGCTGCATATGCAACAAATGGTGAAGCTTTAGACTCTAAGCATCAATAATATACTGTATCTTAAATACTGTGTATGCTTATACAGCTACACTTGAATACAGAATTGTTAACTTTTAATAAAGTGATTTCTCAGCTTAGCAACAGAGTCTGTTTGTTTAGAAACTTTCATTAGAAATTTGGACAGTGAGACAGTTCTGTTTAGGGTGTATTTTAAGAAAATGGGAAGAAATTCCTGGACAAAACTCAGATTACAACCTTACATCCTGAACAACAAACTCTGCAGGAAATCCTTGCTCATCTTTTATGACAGAACTGTCCAGAGAAGTCTTACCATAACACAGGTTCGCATCTACAGACATCAGTTAGTAACATAATATACCCCATGGAGAATCAGAGCAGCTCTTCATAGGGTTTGACATCGTATCTTTCAGTTTTCAACCACAGAGCTCCAGGATCCAACCCAGCACCTAAGACATAGCAGAAGCTCAAAAATGAGCATTGAGTCTTTAAAAGACACAGTTCACCGCCCTTGGAGTTAAGAGATAATATTTTCCTGGCAATTTGGGAAATTCGGAGAGAATTAAAGAGAATTTAAAATCACTCTTTGTGGCACTTGTCCAAAACATTTTAAAGGTATTCTTGTGGAACCATTCAGATTTTCTATTATAAACCTTTTTTTTTTTCCCCCAGTAATGAGGATACTGGAAATCCTAGACTGTTTCTGTATACAGGTCCTGTAGACATGACACACTTACAGGGCTTCTGCTAAATTTGCTAAAAAGGCAAAGAGTTTTAGGATTTCAACATTTTTAAAAGAAGCAGGAGTGATTCAGTCTTAAAATGAAGAAATGAATATATAGCGTGGTTAGCTACCAGACAGTTAATCCACAGCCACAGGATTCTATAGAATTCTAACTCGGGTGCCCTAAACCTGGGATCAGATTTTGTCCATTTATTATATTTGTTTGTTTTCCCCCACTTGTGAACCATTTCTTCTGTCATTTTTTGTCAGTTTTTTTTCTGTCACTCTGAAAGCCCAGTGTGCGTGTGCGTGCTGGTCAACACTTTGGGTGTGAGAATGGAAGTAGAGGGGTGGAACACGGCAGAGGAGTCAAGTTGGTGGCCAGTTTATGACCCCTGATCACAACTGCATAGCTGTAGTTAAGACCGATTTTTTAAATGATACCCTGGGAAAAAGATAAGACATGGAACTAGCCATTTGCTCCTGTATCTGCCTTCCCTTCAAAGCCGGTTAAGGAATACCGGAAGAGACTGATTCAAACCATAAAGACATTTGTAACACAAAGTTTCAAAGAACAGCAGTGTTCCCTAGAGGAGGAAGACCAGACTCTTCTCCCAAACCAGCAGAGAAGCATTCTGGGAGCCCTTCTGTGCCAACTCCACGACACGGCAGATTCCCCCTAATCTTACCCAGAAGACTCCCTCAATTCCATTCAGTGATAATTAAGGCATAGAGTGTTCTAGTCACTTGAAAGTGAAGGAGGCGAGGGTGGTATTGGCTGGTAGAACGTTACCATAACTATCTTCCCATATCCCTCACGTACACACATGCACACAAACGCACATAGGTGATCAACTTTTTAGGAATTAAAATTATATAGAGTTTTAAAAAATCGTAGCAACTTACTATTTTCTTTAACATTCAGAAAATATTTCAGGAATTGTTAAAGCCTTAAGATGATCTATTCTCAATGTAAAGGGATACACAAAAACGTTCACAGCAAATTAACTTGAAGTAGAACAACAACTCCGTGGTGTGTGTGTGTGTGCGCGCGCGCGCGCCACAGGCTCCAGGAGTACTTAAAATATTCTCTTATTTCAGTATGTGGGCTATTTTGTTTGCTCTGTCCCTGTGCCTCGCCCCCTACTGGACAGTTTTGGAAAGAAAACATGTCTAAAGACTGAAGTTTTCCATTTGCTTGGATTTTGGACACATGGAAATTTACAATATCTTAAATTCTGTTAGAAATCTTAACTGCTCAGTTAGAAGCCTAGCTTCTCAGACGCTGTCAGTAGCCTTCCCAATCGGTGGGGTATAAGGTTGCATATTTCCATTTTACAGAGGAGGAAACTATGGACCAGATTGAAATGCTTTGGTGTTGGATTCCCTGGGAAAACCCGTGGCCTCAGTGGAAACAGAACCCAGTTCTTGAACTCCTTTCGGCCACAGCAAAACAAGTACTCACGTCATGATTTGGGTCTCCACTCCCGCCTCCACCAGAGCCCCGTCAACAAAGAGAGGAACCGAAGTGAAACCATACTTGTCCCAGGAGTGGCCCTCGTCAAAACTCACCCTGGGTTGGAAACAAGTACATGGAAGAGACAGCTGAAAATAAAACCATACTCTTTTGCAACAATTTTTCAGGTTATTAAATTCTCCTCTGTATCTCACTTTCTGGCAGTTTGAATTATCAATAGGCATTAATCTTCAGCATCTCCCTATATTATTATGAGATTTGATCAAAACTGTAATTCCTGTCCCAGGCAGAGATAGCACCAGACTGCAGAAATATTTCAACATATTAGAATCAAAACACACACACACACACACACACACACACACACACACACACACACACACCGACACCACCAACCAACCCAAGCAGGAGGACTTAGTGGATGGAGTGTAACGTTTCAAGTACTCAGAATAGAACTGAGGTTCAATTTACAGCACAATCAATTCAGTCCCTGGAGTTTCTGACACAGATAAATTGAGTAGTGTGGGGTGTAGCCTATGGGAGGGGAGGTGTGTGTCTTTCAGATCAAACCTTAAGAAAAGCAATTTCCTATTTGTTCAGAATGAAAGTTAGGATCATTTTCCCTCCCCAGTGCCACTTTAAGGAGCTGTTAGAGATGAGTGCTGAGTGTCAAAGACATTCTAGACAATACTATCCCTCTTTTGTCCAGTGCTAAGAGAAAGGTCTGGCCCTTTGTGGACACAGCACCTGAAACTCTTTAAAGAGAAGGTTACTAGTGGAGGAGACTGGGGCAATTCTGAGTGCTTGCTTCTTTTCCTTTCTTGATATTGTCAAGTACCTGACCCTCCTTCTTCCCCAAAGGAGCTTTATTTGCTTTATTCCCTGTGCTCCCTCCTCCTGGCCATATTAATTCTTAATTCTTCCCTGACTTCATAACTCAGGATTCTCTGAGTTCAACTATAGGAACTCTGTAGGCTTTTCCTCTCATAGTGCTGAGTGATAACTTCTTAATGGATCTTAAATCCACCAGTTCAAAACGATAATCTTCAGAGTTCAGGGGTCATGTATGTCTTGTTAATTGAATGCTTTCCTAACACCACCCACATATCTTTATTATAAGATTTCTTACATGATATTACATATACATTTAGATAAATACGTGTCTGATTTTTCCACTGAACTGTGAGCTTTTTGAGGTCAAAGTCCATATTATTCATTTTTGCATTCCTAGCACCTAGCAGAAAAACAGACACCTAGTTGGCACTATATAAATGTTAAATGAATAAGTTAATGAAAGAAATAAAGAATGATTAATGGCACTCTTCCAATCCATCCACTTTTTTCAAGCATGATTTATCTTGGCATTCATGTACTGGCTGCAGGAATCTCTCCATTACTGGTCAACCTACTCAGCCTGTTCTCTACATATCTACTTCTTTGTCTCTCTCCGACTCTCTGTCTCTGTCTCTTTCTCTTTGTCTTGTCCTTTCTTAACCAATTTCTGAATTTATGATATACCTAAGTCTATATTCACACAAAAAACGAAAAGCAGACAGCCCAAACTTAAGTTTTTATGAGTTCACAAATTGTGTCTCTCTTGACTTTTCTAAAATATTGAGTTATTTTTGACACGTAAAAATTATATACATTTAAAGTGTGCCATGTGATATTTTGATATATGTATATATTATGAAAAGATTACCACAATCAGGCTGGTTTCCAGGGGTAGTGGTGAGGAGGCAGGAGGGAGAAATGAGATGTTGCTCAATGGGTTCAAAGTCTCAGTTATGCAAGATAAATGAGTTCTGGCGATCTAACATGTAACATGATGATGATAGTTAACAATACTGCCTTGGGGCACCTGGGTGGCTCAGTCATTTAAGAGTCTGACTTCTGCTCAGGTCATGATCTCATGGTTATGATTCGTGAGTTTGAGCCCCATGTCAGGCTCTGTGCTGATGGCTCAGAGCCTGGAGCCTGCTTCAGATTCTGTCTCCCTCTCTCTCTGCCCCTCCCCCACTCACACTCCGTCTCCCAAAAATAAATAAACGTTAAAAAAAAAACCCAAAAAACAAAAAAACAATACCTCCTTAACTTTTAAGAATTTGGTCATTTCAGACTTTTTTTTTTTTTTTTTAATAGGCTGAAAGCTACATAATCATCCAAGCTGACCTAGAGAAAGTTGGGTAGATATGAACTGCTTTTCTTAAAAATGAGTTTCTTATTTCGAAGGTGAAGATGAAAGCACAATTGGGAATGAACTTCATACCTTTCTTGCCATTGACCTGCTCAGTTCCTAAAATAATCATAGTTGTTTTCGAGTATGTCCTGGCCACTAACTAGTTAACTAGGCAATAGCTCTAGGAGATAAGTAAGCATTTCTTTAGTTATTTGTCTGGGTGACTTTGGATAAACTGGGTTTTATACTGATAGGAAGAAGCCAAAGTGAGATGAAGGCCTCTGTCCTATCTCGTTCTCTGAATTTCCTTACCAGTGAAGATCACTTATTAACACTAGCAGAGAAAATAATGGTGGGTGCTACCAATGTCCCAGGGAAGGAGGAGCCTTCCTACCACTGCCATTGAGAACAAGGCAGAAGATAGTCATTATTACTTTGTACCGTGGATGAGACACCACAGAGTAGACACGGAGGGACCATCCTAGCCTTCTAGCTCTGAGATGGAAGTTCCAAGGAAAAGCCAAGCCCAAGATGAAAAGAAAAACTGTTGTATGAACTGAGTTCATGTGGAAGGAGTGGAAGCATGGATTAGATGGAAGAATGAGATCAGAAGAAAGACTAAGAAATGCCAAAATCCACGTGGGAAAGCTAGCATATACAATAACCAAAATCCAAAGACTCCATTACAAACCATGCTTATAAACATAAGCAAGGAGACATCCCTATAGAATCAGGGTGAGGAATGGATCCCGTGATTCTCATTTATGGTCAGCCTACCACTTGGAAGGTCACGACTGTGCCATACTGGTGACTTCATGAGATCAGGAACTTCTAACACTTGAATATTGTGAACCGAGATAATTATTAAAAACAAAACAAAACAAAACAAAACTCCTGAACAAACTCCAAAAAATAGGACATTAGAAAATTTAATCTCTTGGGTATCAGAAATTTGGGTCTGGATGGCCTGCCATTTATGTGAGCTATTCTTTTTTGATTACAGGGAGGTTTTTTTAATGTTTTGAAGTAACTATAGTGAATGGTATCCCCAAGGGATGCACCTTCTTTTCCCTACTCAGTTCAATAACTCATTAATGGCCCAGACAAAGGAATTGGGAATTCTTTATTAGATCCACAGGTGAAACTGAAAATTGTTAGGGTCTCCAATACTTAGACAGGTGTAAAGTTCCAACTGACCTCTAAATAATGGCAAGACAAGAATACAAAATCAAAATAAAATACACTTCCTTTATAAATATATATGATGCTTAACTGTACCTGGTCTGGCAGTGGCCTCTGTTTAAAGGATCTAGGGGTGAACAAGAAAGGGAAGGCCCTAGTGTAAGTGGAACTTACATTCTAATTTGAGGACACAAACAATATTCAGACAAATGGATTAAAAATATGAGTTATAAAAAATATGAGTTACAAATAGGTGTCATGAAGACAATTAAAACAAAGTGATGTGGTAGAGAGTGACCACAATAGCTACTTTGTATTGAAAGTTTAAGAAAGTCCTCTTTGAAGAGGTTATATTTCAACTGAGGTCTGAATGATAATAAGGAACAAGCTGATTAGACCCTGGTAAGAGCCATTCCAGAGGTAAGACCTAGTGTGAAAGGAAGTTGCTTTCACAAGGGAGAGCAGAAAGATTGCCAATGGCTGTAGATCAGTGGGAAAGTAGATTATAGAAGGAAAACAGAGTCAGAAAACAAGACCAGAGAGACTATGAAGGACCTTGTTTCCATCTGCAAGGAGAGAGATATAATTTGCTTTAAATTTAAAACATAATTTTCATTTCTTTATAGTGAATGGATTGTCAGGACTCAAAGTGGATGCAAGGAGATGAGCTGAGGGAAAGTGTAACAATTGTAAGATACCAAGTAAGAACAGGGGCCTGGACAAAGGTTATAGTAGTGGAGAAAGAGATGGAAAAGATACTTTTAGAGGTGGAGTCAATATAATGTATACAGGTTGCTTCAGCAAAGGAAATAAATCATGGACAACAGATTTTTAGGGTTAAGCTGTTGAGATGGGGAAAGGGGATGGGGAAAAGGATGGGGAAAAGCTTTTTTTGTTTGTTTTTATTTGGTCCACATCAAGGTTTAGGTGCTTTTTGAACTTCCAGGTTGAGACATTGTCAAGGAGACTTTTGGATGGATGGATCTAAACTTCTGGGGAGTAATAAACGTTGGGAATGTAGATTTAGAAGTCACTTATAAGGTAGGACCAACTTAAAACAGAATGCTTAATTAGAAAAAAAAAAAAAAAAAAAAAAAAAAAAAAAAAAAAAAAAAAAAGCTCCACAGTCAGAGAAAGGAAAAGAAGAACTAATGGTAAGCTCAAGCTGAAAACAACTGGGGTCATTGTCAATCATACTTTCTAGAAATGATGCTATTATAAGAGGTAATCAAGCCACGGTGAGTCTATGTGAGTCTACTATGTGTTCACAGATAGCTAACATGCATAACAGAAAAAACTATCCTTCTATTAAATCCTAAATACTGTGTTTAGTTACAATCATTGTAGAGAAACTGACATTCAATGTGATTAAAGGTAAAAAAAAAAAACAGGTTGTTCTGAAAACAGTTTATATGAATTGAGGATAGCTTAGGGTAAAGAAGAGTAGAGCTGAATTAATTATCATGTCTTTTACTTTTTTTTTTTTTAGTAAGAAAGGTTTAGTTAAACAAAACGCTATTTGTTGACTACTGAAAAGGGGCAATGTCTGTGAAAGAAATAAGTAGTTGAATGCATAAAAATATCAATTAAAATACAGATAAAAAAGAAAATATTTCCACTCTCATAATGGTTTTAAAGAGAATAGTCAAATATTTTTGCACAATAATTTAAGCTTCCAAGTATTTGTCTTGTTCATTTTTATAGCGCAGCCCTTAAACTAAAGCTGGATAGATAGTATATGCTCAAGGAATGCATGAGGAGTAAGTGCATAAATGCATAAAATCAGTCTTGAGCTGCATATCTGCTCATTTTCTAGAGCTGAGGAAGGTTAGACAAAGAGATCTCTTGAGGTCCTTTCCAGCTATATAATTCTTTAATTATGTGCAGTGCTGGATCCCACTTATTCAGTATAGCTCTGGGCAGCAGAACAGGTAATGATGGACATTAATTATAGTAGGTTCACTACTGCTCAACCTAAAAACATTGTTTTAACAGCTAAAGACATTATACAAGATGGGGAAATCTCTGTCTTGGGTATATGTGAGTTGCTTAGCACTGCGGTATTGTGGTGAAGTAGGGTGATCCTCTGGGGTGTCCAAGAGGTGTCTGCTACACTAGGTGTGAAACCAGACTACACATTCTCTAAGACCCTTCCTTATTCCAGCATCTATGACTTTATAATACTGAGATGAGAGCCACTAAAAGGAAGATACCTTCCAAGGACAACGAAGTCCTCCCCAGAGAATCAGTGTCCTCCCTTTGGTGAGGTACATTGTTCCATCTTATTTTGTCACAAACACATGAGGTGGTAACATTTTAGCCACCTGGAAGTTCTTCACAATAGCACACATACTTTCCCTTTTCAGAGGCATGTATGGTTGGAACTGTTGTTTTCATGTGAATGTTTTTCTGAACAAAATACTAACACTCACAGCCATTTATAGAAAAACAAAGGAACAAAAAAGGCCAGGTGATGTTTCATTTCCTGTTTCCAAGAACATCCTATTGAAAGGAGACACTGACAGCTTGTCAGGGCAAGCAAACAGTAGGACCCCAATCTACCTGCAGATTAGTAGCTCTGACTATTTTGAGTTTTCATTAGAGCACTGCATTCCATAGGGCTCCATTATTCACTTTACCCTAATGCATCTATGGTATAAAGATAATGCTGGATGCAGGGCTTACCTGAAATAGCACTTAGGTTCTAATCTCTATGCATCCAAGAGTACACGGTCACAAATAGATGGGTTCATTTGTATGCTGTTTTGTCTTCATGCATATCTAGCTACCTATCATTTCAATTTATGGGAAACAGCATGCCTTATTAGCCTAGCTAAAGTTTCCTCAGCTTTTCAATTATGACTCCTATTTTCTCTGAAAGGCAATGTAGCTATTATTTAAATTTGAGAACCACTATACCCTTGTGTGAGAGTGTGTAGGCTGGTGTTGTTGTTTTTTTCTATGTGAATATATATACATCTATGTACAAAATAATGTCAGTTTGAGGCCTACACAGAAAATGACAATGAACTGATTAGTTAACTTTTCTTCCACTTAAAATGAGCTACTTGTTTCCCTTGAAAGCTGTGACTTAATTAGAAGCTACTGGTGATGAAGAAACTGCTTGTGTTTCACAAGCTTGCAGTTCATAAGCAAGAGACAAATATCAGTCAAGAATTTCATAAGGGAACACTGATGATAATGACATGGTCAAGTCCTTACAAAATACTCACTTAGCCTTTGAAAGAGAAGTGCAAAGGAGAATTCTTGAATAAGGTATTTCTTATTGTGTTCTAACACATGACCCCAATAGCTGGTATTTAACCATTGCAGAGATGATTTCAGAGACTGGCATTCATAGGTAGGCAAGCAAGTAGAAATCATGGGTGGCGTCCAAGTTCAGGGAAATATTTGTAGCATTTATGACAAACAGCAGTGTCAACATCCTTTAAATGGAGAAAATGCTATCTCAAAAGTTTCATTTGAAAAATACTTTGTAACTTGGAGTAGGCAAGCAAATGGAAGGTAGTATTATCACTGTTACTGTAAGAGGAAGTTCAATGCGAATGCAGCTATTTTCTCCTGAGCTTTGAAAACATTTTCTAACAAAAAAACAGATATTTCACGGAACTAGGGAAAACTCAAACTTTGTATTGAGGATTTTGAGAGACATGATTTTGTCCTACTTACGTATCCCTGAAAGAATATTAAGAAGTTTTCCCAGCATGCATGATTTCCCTCCAAAAATTCCCAGATAAATGCTCCTTTGGGAAGTGATCAGGTCTTGGGTGGGAAAGAACTGCAGAACAGACTCAACAGTCAGACGTAAGGATGGTAAGATGAACCAAAACCAAAACTCTCTAGTTCATGCCAAATATCTTCTCCTTTTCTGTACCCCAAAGGAAACAACACCACCAAATTCCTCTTTTCCTTAGAATAAGGAAACTGTTGTGCAAAAGGGTCTAGAAATCAACCATTAAGTAAGTACTAGGTTCCTATCATAATGGAGAAAGAGCAGAAGGGTGATGGTCAGGTGTGAGATGGGGCTATCAGCCCCCTTCTCTCAAGACTTAAGTGGAGAAAATCTGCTCAGCTATATCTGTCTGCAGGGCATTTATCAATTCTCTTATTGAGACATAAATGCAATTTTTTGGTAGGGGCTAAAAATGTTGCCTTTCTTGGTGAAAAAAACAAATAAACAAATGAATGTGTTTTAAGAGTCAAGTAATCCTTTCTGAGAGTGCAAGTCCTACTCTATCCTCAGTGAAGAAACTCTTCCCTCCACAAAGAGGCAGGTCTTTGCAATAAAAGAGATTACTTACAGGTTCAACCTGGGATTTAAGCTCCAATGAGTCCTACCCACCCTAACTTACGCACATTCTTGATTCCGATCAGATATATTTTCTTAACACTCCCCAATTTTCCTGAATCCCAGGTTTTGGTAGGGGTTTCCCTTCCCTTGACTGCTTTCATCAGTCCTCTGACTCCTGGCATCTTTTTCTCAAAAATCAACTCTCCTGTCACCATCTGCACGAAGATCCCTTACACACTGGGCAGGACTCCATCCTGCACTAAGATCCCAACAACGCACCGGGCCAGCATGCTTTAGCAGGCATTGCTTGGATTTCTGGTGACATATAGACTGTCTAAGCTCCTTATCTTGACTATGATCTCCTAGAGGGCTAGGACCATGTGATAAGCCTCTGTACACTCAGTAAAGATCTGGAAAATTCAGTTAAAACAGAAGAGCATCCATAGCAGAGACCCAACCTAGCGCTGCCAGGTACTAGCTGTGTAGCCTTGAGCAAAGTATTTATTATGTCTGCATTTCAATGCTATTATAATTATGTGATAAAAAGAGTACCCACATACCTAGCATTGTGTCAAGAACTAACTTAGTTAACTTGCTAAAGGGTTTAGAATGCTGTCTGGAATGTAAGAATTCCTCAAAAAATTCTGTCATTAGTATAAGTAATTTCGGTCTTCTGATTGTACCCAAAAAGTATATAATCAGTAGTAACAGGGTGATAAACAATTACAATGGGAACCTTTACACGTTCATTCATCAGTTAGTACTTTTCCTTACAAATGGCTCCATGTATCATTTCAAAATTCAATCTCATAATCTCATAGGAAAATATAGCAGTTGGTAAAACCATTGGACTTCATGCTAACTTCAGCTCTAAGAAACTGACAGTATTTGACTATTTTCACCCCCCAAAAATGGCAAGTTCATATGGTTTAACCCAATAAAAGGACAAACTGAGAGAAAACTTTTTAAGTCCTTCCAAGGTGGCTGAAGCCTAAATTTGGCACCTGGGAATCCTATGCCTCTTCCTGATTACAGTCTGATACTTCCCAGTAAAACTCTTACTTTAAAAGGGATAGTCTCCCAAAATCAAGGGTCTGGGAGTTAAGCCAGAGTCCATCCTCCAACTTGTGGTTCACCCCAACAACTGTACTCTGGATAGTACCCTCTACTCCCAAATATTCAGTCTCAAATATTCACTTTGCTGCATGTGAAGTCTGAAATCCTTTCCCTTCAGCATGTAAACGCACATGATACTTATTTATCTCCTGCCAAAAGCAAGAACAAACAACAGCATCAGTTGTCATCACCATCATCATCATCATCATCATCATCATCATCATCATCATCGTATATTCTCACAGATCTTTGTACTCACTGGAGGGTCTTGCATATATACACACAACCTCATTCCATAATCTACTTTACTGAGAAGAGTTATCTCCACTGTCTCCATTTTACTCCATTGCTTATCATTCATTCATTCATCACTCATTTCATTCATAAATCTATTACAATCTATCTTTCAACCCCACTTCTCTTTTGAATCTACTCTGACAGAGTTTGAACTCCTCTACTACTCTACATTGATTAATCCTACATTGTTTTTCATTCCATAACTAATTTGGTCCAATTATAGAATTTGGTGCTATTGATCACCCCTTTCTTCAGCATCCATGAAAACATTTCTCCTGGGTTTTTTTTTTTTTTTTTTTTTTTTTTTTGGTTTTTTTTTTTTTTGCTTTTTTTTTTTCTTTTTGGCTACTTCTTCTTTGTCTGTTCCATAATTTATTTCCCATTCTGTATGTTGATATTCAACCATGTCCATATAAATACCTGATTTCTCCTTCTTGTACCTATCCTCCTGAGCCATTGAGCCCACTGCCATGGCTTTACCTATCATCTAATGGCTAATGACTCCAAGTCTAGAGTGTCAGCCCAGACCTCTGTCCTGACCTTCAGATGAATATATCTGACAAATAATCATCATCTCTGCTTGAATATTCACAGACATCTCAAACCCAACTTATCTAGAACTGAAATTAGTATCTGCTACATGAACCTAAGTTCTTGCAGCAATTTCTATATCCTGTATTTTGGATTCTTAATCTTGGCTGCTTGAACCCACAGGTCCTTCCAGCTCTTTTCTGCCTTATCTGAGCACCATTTCTACCACTCTACTCTATTTATCATACCTCCCCATCTAAATTATCTGGTCTACTACTGCTACCTAACAGTTAGATGATGGAATGTATATTAAATGGATGGATGGGTGAATAAATGGATGAGGAAATGGGTAGATGGGTACAAAGTCATGCAGAAAAACTTGTCCCAACACTTTCCACTAAAAGGAAAAAAAAAGCTTATTAATAGGGTAGGGAGCTGTCCTTACCACAAATGCCTGACTGGCAGAGGTGTGTGTTTCATGGCCACGAGGGCGCCACCCCAGTCTAGGAACCAGACATTGTACTCTTCATCAAAGATCTGGAACAACAACAACAACAACAATCATAGCAATGCCTCACATTTGCACAGGGCTTGTTACAAAGTCTTTCACATACATCGTTTCCTCTAGGTTCTGAGTCTTCCAACAACCCTACCAGGGAGTTTGGCAAGTACTATCATCCTCACTCAATAGATAAGGAAATGGACTTGCAGAGAGCAAATAACTCTCCCTAGCTCACTGAAACAGAATTTCCAGGGATCCTTCCATTAGTACTGTGTCCAGTGTGTAGTACAGTGTGCTACAAGAAGACGAGACAACAAGATGCATGCTCAGCTAGGAAACCCAAAGGAAAATATGACTTAAAAATGCTTACCCATCTTTGCATTTTGAGTAACTTACTACTCAGTTCTCTCCTTTCTCAACTATTCAGGTTTTTGCTAACTTATAAATGGTCTGTCCCTTACAGTGTTGTTCATAAATTATCTAGGAATGTATAGACAATTTCTCTAGACAGTCTCGTATACATGATGACTGAGTTCTTAGACTGAGACACTGCCTCCTAGGTTTCCGTGCAAGCTGGATGAAGGCCTAAGTTTGGCCCTTGCAGATTCTGAAGGTGTATTGGAATACAGTGCTTCCAGGGATGTAGAGTTATCCATTCTTTGATTCATCCTTTTGTCCATTACTCATTTCATGCAACCATTAATTCATTCAAGCATTCAGTGATCCATTCATCCACAGGCATTTCCTAAGCATCTACTATGATGCCAGGCTCTGAGCTATGAGAACTTCAAATGTAATCCCACACAACTCAATGCTTCTATTATATACAACTATCATATCTCCAACCTGAAACAGGAAAAAAAAAAAACGTTTCTCTAGCAGAGAACAAACCTCCTACCATAGATCTTCTAGAGGAAACTAGAATTGGATAATCCCTCTAGCTCTTAACCACTGGTGGTGGCTCTTAAAGCTTAGAAGGAGAGGTTGGGATGCTGGGTTAAGTGAGACATAGTAGAAAAAGTGAGGAGTCTAAACATATTTAAAAGGGAGAGAATAGGAGGGATGGGGTCTGCCTTAGGGAACACCATGGAGGAAAACCTAACCTCCCAACTGGTTTCCTTTCTCACATTTGTCTTTTAAGAAAATAAGAATGCCCATACTAATGGTAGTATTAATGCAAAAAGGACCTCAGGGTGATTCATTTATATATCATATATAAACATGAACTTTGGGCTTACAATGACAGCATTTTCTTTCCTGAGCTCAAAGGTAGGCTCTGTGATAATCCACATAATGGAGATGCTGGATTTAAGTATGAGGCTGAGGAGTAGAAGAAGATTCTTGCCGTGGGGAAAAGAAAAAAGTCATTATCTACACTTTCCTCTCTATCATTTTGGCCAATGCTAACAAGTGTCCTGTACAGTAATGGAGTGGAAACTGAAATCCTTAGCTATTTACAAAAAGAGAAAAGAAAACCAAAGTAGTGACAACACAAGGAAGGGATGTTGCGGTGGTCACCTGGCCAGGTGAGCTATTTCTTGAGTTGGAGGGACAATGGTTTGTTGTTGGGAGTTTATATACCAGAAGAGTTGATGTTCCAGTTTCCCTCCAAATTTGACACTTAAAAGAGTTTATCTTGGGGCTCCTGGGTGGCTCCATCAGTTAAGTGTCCATCTCTTGATTTTGATTCAGGTCATGATCTCGTGGTTCATGGGATCAAGCCCCGTGTCAGGTCCACACTTACAGCATGGAGCCTGCGTGGGATTCTCTCTCTCTCCTCCTCTCTCTCTCTGCCCCTCACCTGCTCACACTTTCTCTAAAAATAAATTCAAAAAATTATAAAAAGTGATTATCTTATATTCTGAAGGTATGTTCCTAATTATGTGTCCTCTCCTCATCTGCCTGATTCTGGCCTTGTGGGTAGGAACCTTAACTTATTCTTTGTCGTATGCCTTATAATACTTAAAATAGATGGTTGTAAGTATTAGTCCTAGGTAAATTTTTCTCTTGATAGTGGTAGTGGTGACAGTGGTGGCAATGGGGGTGGTGATGATGATGCTGGTGATGGCGATGACATTTCACTAAGGGATCCAAACAGGAACTTGTCCAACTAGACTGCAGATGATGGCTTCCCCTTCGCCAAGACATTCAGTGCTCTTCCTTTGTCTTCCTCAGGTAAAAACCTTCTCATCTTTAAGACTTACTAAAATGTCAACTCTTCTTGTTAAGTCTTTCCCATTTTCCTCAAGTAGAATCAATTCTTCCCTTTACTCTGCAGGCTAAAAATGCCACAAAAATAATTCAATCACTCTGAACTACAGTTAGTTATTTATGAAGCTGTTTTATCTACTTAATTTTTAACTCATTGAGGAAAGGGACCCCAAAATATTCAACTACCTCCTCAGGTTTGTACTTGACACCTAGCTGACATTGTATAAATCTGTGTTGTTCAATACAGTAGCCACATGAGACGATTTAAATTTAAATTGATTAAAATAAATAAAATAAAAAAATTCAGTTCTTCTGTCACACTAGCCACATCTCAAGTGTTCAGTAGCCACTTGGGATGGCACAGACACAGAACATTTACATCAATGCTGAAAGTTCTATTGGACAGTGTGCTACAAATGTGTACACAATTGAGTTAACTTTTCATGTAGTCATGTATCTATTAAGCTGCTTCATACTTACTTAAGGCTGGGTCTACATATTATTTAAATCACCAGAGATTTCAACAGCCTTGGGTTTTTATTATCCTAACCTATTCATCTTGTAGATAAAGAAACAGACCCAGAAAGGTAAAGGGACCTATCTGGGCAGATAGGTCCCATGGCACATTAACGATAGAAACTATTTCACCGGTTGTATCCCCAGAAACTAGCACAGTACTTAGCGTCTGGTGGCTGTTCCATACTTATCATTGAATGAAAGAATGGAAAAAAATGGGAAAATTCCAGTTCTTCATATTCCTTACCCAATACTTCCATTTTACCCCCCTGTCCATCTGTCAGGAAAATGGACCAAACTGAACAGGTGCTTCAATATTTTTTGCAACCACAAAGTCATAATGAGCCCGAGAATCTATAGGAAAAAGAGATGTTGACAGAACTTGCCCTAAATGCCTCTTCCCTGTTCCCAATTCTCCCAGTTACCTGTCGCCATGTGTTGCCCCCATCAGAAGAGATGAACACACCAATATCAGTATATGAGAGCTCCGGGCCAATGTTGCCTGAAACATAAGCACATCATTTGTAATTACTTGCAGATTTGGGACTGAGGGTAAGGGTCGCAGAGGGTAACGATTTTCTAAGTATGTTTAGAGTTGATTTGTGCAGTGTCTTTATTGGTGTCATATCAAAAACACAGCAAGAAGAAAAAATGTAATATGGGAACACAAGTAAATAATATTACAGGAATTCATCTTTAAATGGTAAGACTCAAAGACCCAGTATTAATGAGCTTGGATCCCTTGAACTATTCATGCTTTTACCAATAGTCTCTTAAAATTTATCTTTATAGGCATTTTCTGAAGGTGGCAAAGAGTGGAACAATAGATATGCATGGAGAAGTTGGGCCTAAGGATACCTTCCTCCTCATGATAATTTTAGCCTAAGGAAAACTGGTGTGTGTGTGTGTGTGTGTGTGTGTGTGTGTGTGTGTGTGTGTGTTTACATGTGAGTGTATATCCAACTCAAACATGTCCACCTGCCTCTTGGGTGCCACACAGCTCTTGGGTGCCACACAGATGAATGACCCCATATTATTGACCACGTAACCAAATTTATAGGGTGGCCAGAATAAAATGACTATCCTCAGCATATCATGGCTATCGAGCACTGCAGGAGAAATCATCTGGTTTGTGCCACACTTACTGCCTCCTCCATCACTTCACAACTTCATGCTTTCTCACCTTCTTTTCCTTCCCTTGAGCATCATCACCCAGTGGTTATACTTATTAAAAGAGGAAATGATCAAGATTTTCTGGTTTACCTATGTTGCCCAAGGTTCCCCAATGGGCATCCCCCACCTCAGAGCCCAGAATAGTGCCCCAAATGCAGTAGTTAACTGCTCAATAAATAATTGTGGAATGGATGAATGAGTCAACAAATTATTAAATCACATTCTGATATTGATGTGTATTTGGGGACATATCAAGCACCAGGAGAGTACCCTAAAGATGTAAGAATTTATCATTTTGGCTGATATTTTTTTCTTTAAAAATAGCAGGAAAGGAATGTTAGCTCCCACACATCTGTAGTCTAAATAAGAGCACAATAAAAATGCAATAATGAAAATGTTAATTGAGCTCCTGACATTTAATGCTTCAAAATGAGAAATTAAAGCCAGGCTACAGCTTGTCAAGCTCCCATCAGCAACAGGGAGCACACAGCTAGCCAACTTGTTTTGACACTCTGGCTTCCAAAAATAACCCCAGGGCTCAGGGCTCAGGCAGTAGGTGTGAGTGGAGCGAAGAGAGGCACCATGAGCAGCTCTGTGGAGATCTGTCTGGAATCTGGAATTCAACTCTCTAGATACAGGTTTTAGAAGAAAGAAAGGAGGGATGGGGCAGACAATATCAACTCGTGTCATTTGGGGATGGCTGCCTGGAGCATTGTGACAAGAAGGATTCCGAAGTCATATTTAGTCTCAAGAGAACAGAGTATAGTGATCAATCAGGAATGTCTACCAAGGTGGCAAAGAGCTAGAGACAGGCACAGGAGCACAGTCACCCTTGAGCTGGAATCTGCTATTCCTGTAATGGCTTCTTAGGGTCTGTCTCATCACCTCGTACTCTCTGTAGGAGCTGGTTCTGTCATCTTCCTAAGCCCCTCTCTTTCAAAGCTCCACCAGACTGACTTTGGAGGTTCTGTGGTGATGAGAATCCAAGGCTCACAGCAATGTCTTTTTCTGGAAATATCTTCCACCAACTGAAAGGAGCCCTTAAAAAATTGCTACTGAGCACAAGAACCAAAAAAGTTGGTTCCCAGATGAAGGGGCAGAAAAGATGTCTCCAAGACAACTGGATCTCAGAACACAGGCAGTCCCTAAGTGGCCCTATGGGGAATCCCTGACAGGAAGAATCTGGGTTATGGCTTCAGATAAAGAAGATTTGAATAAGGCGCCTTACTGGCTGACATGGGACTGCGAAGCTCACCAAAGTGACCTCTGATCTGATTAGAAGAGGATGTAGCTGTTCCTCACTTAAGAGATGTGATGGCAAAGGGGAAGGGGAGAGACACAGAGAGGAACACGAAGCCTCTCTCACCAATGGCTTAGCTGGTCAGTCCTGGAGGCTCTACTGCCCTTTTGGCAGCTTTAAGCAACTTGTAAAAATTCCCATTTCCTCTCAAAGCTACCTTTCTCTGCTCCTTAAACACTTGTGCTAAGAAAAAAAAAAAGGAAGAAAGAAAGAAAGAGAGAGAGAGAGAGAGAGAGAGAGAGAGAAAGAAGAAAGAAAGAAAGAAAGAAAGAAAGAAAGAAAGAAAGAAAGAAAGAAAGAAAGAAAGAAAGATAGAAAGATAATTTTGGGGTCTCGCTAGCACAGATACCCATTCAGGGGACTGAGGGCTCAGTGAAAAGATGGAAAGGGAAGCAGACGGGGCACAACCCACTGCAGGGAGGAGAGCGCCCCCATGGAGCTTCAGTTCACAGGAAGCTTTGTAGGGAGCCCGGGATATCTTGCAACTGGCAGGTGAAGGGGCTCAGGACTAGACTTGGAACCAGACAGAGAGTTGGTGTGGGCACGATACCTCTTCCTCTTCCTCCTCCATCTCCTCATCTGTAAATGGAGGAGAGTCATCACCTCTTTCACATCCTAGCACTGTTGTGCAATGGAGGCATGGAGAACGCTTTGCACGCTGCAAGGCACTGTGAAGATGCAGGGTCTTGACACCTTGCTTGAAAACACAGTGGTAAGAATATTTAGAGCCCTAGTGTCCCCGCTCTGCTAAAAGCAACTGTCAAACTCTCCAGACTGGCATTCTATCTGCCCTCTGAGATGGACTCAACAGGAGTTGGAGACGAATCCTTTCCTCCATGCAGCTCCCCCAAGAATACACCTCAGGGCAAAGAGGAAGAGGCAGTGAGCACCAGGGGTGGAGGGAAGGGGGCCCAGGGTCACAGGCACCTGGAGGCAGGTGAAATGCCTGGACATGGAAAAGGGCCCTAGAGACAGGCTCCATGCAGGCCACTGAGGGCACCCGTGGCTGACTTCATAATTGTTTTCCTGATAACAAACAACCTCCCAGGGAGCGCTGGCAAGCAGGCTAAGCAGAAGCTGAGAACATGAAGGCATGTGCTAGACATCTAGCTCTGGCTTTTCGTCAGACTCTCCTCGGCTGTGTTATAGCCTTCCCAAAGTCCCAGGGACATTTGTATGGCAAAGAGCCATACAAAGTTATGAGAGTTACAAAGGGGAGAAAAAAAGGCATTAGTAAATTCTGGTACACAGTTGACCCTTGAATAACATGAATTTGAACTGCGCAGGTCCACTTATGTGTGATTTTTTTTTTCCAGTAATACAGTACAGTGCTATAAGTGCATTTTCTCTTTCTCATGATTTTATTTTTTAATATAAAATTTATTGTCAAATTGGCTTCCATACAACACCCAGTGCTCATTCCAACAGATGACCTCCTCAATACCCATCACCCACCCTCCCATCCCTACCACCCCCAATCAACCCTCAGTTTATTCTTTTCTTAATAACATTTTCTTTTCTCTAGCCTACTTTATTATAAGAATACAGTATGTAATATGTATGACACGCAAAATACATGCTAATCAACTGTTTGTTATTGGTAAGGCTTCTGGTCAACACTAGGTTATTAGTGGCTAAGTTTCAGGGACTCAAATGTTACATGTGGATTTTTGATGATGCAGGGATTGGTGCCCCCAACTCCTCCTGTTGTTCAAGGGTCAAGTGTCTACAAATAAAAACTTTCCAAAACAAATCTATAATGCCTCCATGTGTGTCAATTTATAAAGACTTAACATTTGACTAATTTAGAAACACATAATGGCCACAGGTAATAACTAATCCTACCTCACTGTATTCTGAGTACTCTGCTGGGGGTCTTGTGGACACTCTCTTCTAATTCTTACGAACCCCCCACAAGGTAGGGGGAAAAAGTCAGCTTTATAAATAGGAAAACGAAGCCCAGTGGTTGAAGAACTAAGCCAAATTCATAAGGCTAGTGAGTGTCAGAGCTCATCTCGGAAAGCAGGACAACAAGGAGTGTATTCATTCATTCAGTGCATGCATAGTGTATGCATATGATTTATGGGTTCTGTTGAAGGAGATGCCCAAATCATACATAGTCTTCTGATGCAAGATGAACAGGGGTAAACTTCTGTAATATTACTGATAATAACAGGTAACGTGTATTGAGTACTCGCTATGTCCTAGGCACTGTTCGAGTGCCTTAAATCCAGTTCTTCATTGAATCATTCAATTCTGTTATGTCAATACTGTTAATCCCACTTCACCAAGGAAAACACTGAAGTTCAGAGTGGTTAAGCCACATAGGACAATGCCTGGCTACATAGTTGACATGCTAAATAATATTACTTTGATTATTGATTACTGTTTTCCATGTTCCTCCTACTCCACCCCAGGATGTCCTGTAGGCCTTGAGGAAAAGTAGAGAGTATTGCAGTCCCTGAGTTGAGAGGTTCATCCCCCAAGGATTGGGGGTTTGGGGATCACTCCCCAAGCCAGAATGGTAACAGAGCCTGCCGTCATCACTCATTATCTTGGGTGGAAGCCAGTCCTGAAGCCAATGGTGTTAAATATGGGGATCCAATCCCTAAGGGGTTGAGAGAAATGGACTGGAATGCTAGAGGGCTACACTTGCTGCAAATGTGATCAGTGTGGTCAGTCATGGATGGTATTTAGAAGTTCATGCAGCTGAAGCCAAGGAGAAGGAAGTCCTGTCTAGGAGAGCAGTAATTCCAGGAACCAGAGCTTTGAGTTGATAAGACAGGACAGAATATACCATCTCAGGAAGTCACTGTGAATTTATCTTCTCTCATTAGAAAAGAGCCTAACACCAGAGCTCTAACTTCTGAGATTAGAAGCCTGCCTTGCTTTATGCCATCAATGTATTCCTGAAAAGGTACATGTAAATCAAATGCATGCTAATCAGAACACATTCCCCAGAGACTTTCATTTTTCATTTCAGAGTTGCTTTATCTTCATTTCTGATTGATGTTCAGTGGACAGTGGTTCCAACAATGCAACCTTAGGTTTTTCTGCCCTTTTCCCCAGGCTCTTAGCCAAGTGGTTAATCATGTGTAAACAAACCTTTACATGCACCAGAGACCTCCTGATTAAAAACAGCTCTGGGGTGAAACCCTTTGCAAAGAATCCTCTGTGTAAAGAGAAAATGACCTCAACTTATATTTGGTGAGCTGGAAAGTTCATATATCACGATGTCTTAAAGTGAGAATTCCCTATTACAAACAAGCCTTCTGATCAGTCAGTTTACTTTGAGAGGAACTCTGGTCTCTTTCTAAGCCCAGGGGACTGCTCTGTGACTGTGTGGGATGCTCATCAACCTAGAAGTGTCAAGTGTCTGGAGTTCTTTTCCTGGGTCATTAGACTGGCCCTGGGGTTCCGTAACCCTGCCTATTTTCTGGGGAGAGCACCCATTGCTTTCCCCCAACACTCAAATGATTCCAAAGAGGTGATAAACATATTCCAGAAGCCCTCAGAGAGGAAGAAGCCCCAGGAATGTCTTCCTTACCTGTAGCCACCACAATCCCCGGGGCTGTCTCCTTACTGGAGATTCTTCCTGAGGAATACGGATTTTCAGAGATCTCCAAGTGCAGGTGTAAGGAGCAGAAGGGCTACAACGGAGAAGAAAACAGCTTCATTCCAGCAAACTTCTGACACACACCCTGCCCGACCAGAGACGAGCCTTCCAGATGCTCAGCTTCCAGAAACAGCCACATATTCAGATTTGGGCAAGGAGACATTTCCCCCTGAGACAGCAGGTATGCTCACATCTGCAGCTGCCCCTCCGCCATCACAACTGTAGCCCCCGCCCCCTCTTCCTCATCACCCCTGCCCCATCCATCAAGGTCCAGTTCACAGTCAGCATTAGGAAGCCTCCCTGACCATTACTTCCCACAGGATGATCCCGACCTTCCTCTGTATCTGATCTTGACATTCACATCCTGCTTTTTACAGGTGTAGGTGGCCACTGGGAGGGAGGGAGAGAAGCTATGTGAAGCAGTCTCCACGCCCTCTACCCTCTTGTTCAACCAGATTGTTTCAGTTCCTCTTTTATTATGCAATTCCTGTATATGATGTTACTCGAATTTTACCTGAAATGTTTGAAGCCATTGTCTAAAACTCATATAAATGTATTTACTCATTTATTCATCTTTAGGTGTTTTTAAAAAGGATTAGGCATTTATAGAGATATATCTTGTATAATAAGTAAAAACAAGAAAATGATGAAAATTGGGAAAGGAGAAAATGAGGTTAAGAAAATAAGAGAAAGCCTTGGGTAAGGCCTAGGGAAAAATAAAATTCATTCTGTGACCAGCTCCTAGAGGTGGGTGCACATTGGTCTCTGATCTTCCTGAGACCTCAAGCAGAAAACATGGGATTAGACTGTAATCCACAAAAGAGGAAAAGCCCTGTATGTCCCCACAGCCCCAGTCTTTGATATAATGTCTAGAATACAGTAAATGCCTAATAAACCTTTTTAATAAGTGGCAGAAGGCAACTTTTGGCTAAGGGGACACATAACCATTTCTGGGGCCTTAGAAGAGAGCATCCTCTCTAGGAGAGCATGAAGGTTGTGAATTTCACTGTTAATGATGGGTCTTCCCTCCCCACCAAGAGTTGTCACACCTGAGGGCAGAAAAAACTTCTTATACAGCATGTCGTCCTTAGTGCCAACCTCAATATTCCATACACTTGTTACCCTGGGAATGTTGCTAGATTAGCTCCTATCCCATGTGGACACACCTGACCTTTTCTGGGCTTCCAAGGCAACTTTTGCTTCCCTTGACATCTATCAAACATTTCTCAAACTGTATCACAGCGGTATCAGTTAACAAATGTGTTTCTATCCATGAGCTCTGTCTGGGGCCCTGGAACACAGGCACTTTCTCTTAAATGTTTCTTTATCTTAGGAGTTGGAGCACATAGTACATTTTCAGTAAAAGCCTGTGGGTTTCAACTGAACTTTCCATCCAGGTGGTATGGCAATCTGAGTCCATAGATCATCTCCCTGGGAGTTGTGGGAAATCCCTGCTCGGCATCACCCAAGTTCCTACGAAGCCCGTGCTGGAAGAAAGCCCCTGATGCAACATCCCAGGTGACCAGCTTGCCCATGGACCTCATGTGAGACTGAATGACTAACCAGCAGGCAGTGTACTGGACTTCCTTTCAGGTCCACATCTGGAGCTTGAAGTAGGCGCCAATCTCTGCCCTTGTTGTATGTGATGTATGTCTTCACTTGCTCATCCACCTTCTTGTTTGCCAAGAATATCCCTTTGATACCTGCTACCTAGGAAAAAGGGCAAGAGATGGAGAACCATGTTGGGCCAAATGCTGATACTCTTGGAGAAGACTAGCACTTTCCATGGGGTTTTGGGAGTACAAAAGAATAGAAGAGGAGGAACATGGTGAGAAATGCCATATACCATGTGGTCTTTGGGAGAAGTATAAATTAATCTCTGTACTCTCCTCACCTGACACCAACCCAGATGTCCCATTGCCCTTTTACTGATATGCTTTTTCCCACTTTACATGTTTCTACACTTTGTTTATAGGATTTTATCCTTCCTTAACTATTAACATTCCCTCTGAGGTGGCAGTGGTTGATAATACCCGAAGGAGTTATCTCTTCTAGGGAACATGCACTTTTGCTCAGGAGGAGCTTGTAGGCAGATTTTGAAAGCATAAAGGTATAATCCCTAATGCTAGAAGTTTAGGCACCCTAATTAGTAGTGAGACATCTATTTGTAGGCAGATGACCCAGCTTGGTGACCTGGCATCCATCTTTGGCTGTGCACCGGCTCTCTGTGTGACTTTGCGTAACTTCCACATCATCTTTGGGTCTCAGCCAATGGCCACTTTGAAACAGACAGAATCAGACCTGCCCTTCCTATTTTCTTCAGTTGGCTAACAATGGATACATGAGATAATGCACAGCACTCTTGCCAAAGCTCCTGATGTATTGGAATTTGCATACCCTTGATATTTAGAAAATAGAAGAGCATCACCACAAAATTAAAAAAAAAAAATTATGATCCAGAAAGGTTCTGGAGTAAGGACAGATTCAACTCAAACTTCTATTCCTTCTATGTCTACATTTTGGGCAATGAACTGATATTCAGAATAACAACACTCTATGTCAAAGAAAGATTCCCTAACTTCCTGTATAATCCCAGCATTTTCCAAAGCCAAAAGGGAAGTCAAATCATTTAAATACATATAAACATGAGGTTGAATGGTAGATTTTCTGGAAATAGATAACTCAGAATTTTAAGTGTATTTATTCCCCATTCTTTTAGGATCCTGGTTAACTTGCAGAATAACAGTGGGAAAGAATTTCACAGAAGTCAGCTCTTTTATTTAATTACATAATTCAGTTGATAGAAATAAGAAGTTTTGGGGGTTTTTTTTTTTTTGTTTTTTCTTTTAAAGTAACCTGACTGCCCTTGAAAAAGAATGACAACCCAAATAAAAACAAAAACAAAACAAACAAAAAAACAAAACAAAATAATGGACAAAGAATGTCAAGCAGAGAACAGAATTTATCTGGGAAGGACACCACCAGGAGAATTTGACAAATGACCAACAGTGGAATTGATTAGATTCCTAACTTGAACAGAAGGTGGGTACAGACAGAAGCTGAAGTAGGGGGAGGGGCACTGGTGTCAGAATTCTGTCCTTCCCAAGACAAACCCACCCTGCCCTCACTGCTTAAACTCAGTGCCATTGCAGGAAGACTGGTGTCTTACATGCTCATCCAGGGGCTCTGAGTCTCTCAGACCACCTCAGTCTTTAAAATCAACTTCAAAAGTGTTTCTCTTAAACCTGACTATCAATCATTCTTCACAGAGAGTGGACTCTGTGTTTCTTTCTTTTTCTCTTTTTTTTTTTTTAATTTTTAAACATTTATCCATTTTTGAGAGGCAGAGAGAGCACAAGTGAGGGAGGGGCAGACAGAGAGGGAGACACAGAATCTGAAGCAAAATCTAGGCTCTGAGCTGTCAGCACAGAGCCTGACACGGGGCTCGAACCTACAAACCGTGAGATCATGACCTGAGCCGAAGTCAGATGCTCAACCGACTTAGCCACCTAGGCGCCCCGGACCCTGTGTTTCTTTAGAACCATCTGTGTGATGGAGGACTTTTGGTATTATCTTCAGACACAGAGCTGGTACCTTTTCTGTTGGACCACCAGATAATGATCTAGAGAACTGTCTCATCTAAGCCAGCTGGCCCCTTCCAACACAACACGTACCTAGGGCCTTGCTGTCTACTTCCTGGGACAAAATATACAGGTCTGATTTAGACATCTCATGTGGGGCTCCTGTCACCCCCATCTGCTGCCTCCTAGCTGGATGCCTTACAGCATGAATTACTAGCCATTCAGCTATGTCCAGTTCTTCTGGATGAGTGTCTTTGGCAAATGGAATGGTCACTACCATAGTTTCCCAATGAGCGCTCCACATTCAGATGAGCAATTTTTGCAATCCCGACATATTAGGAGAGAAAAATTAGGAGAATGGGGTCTGAAAAGATATAGGAAGGAGAGTTTTCCAAGGAACCCATCTGCAGCTCTGAAGGTGTTTCTCCTGCAGTTACAAAGGAGCCACAAGCAATCTCCCTCCAGTCTGAAAGAACAGAACACTGCCCACTTGCATTTGGATTGTTTAAAATCCTTACATTATTACTGAGTTGCTTCTTGGCTCTGTATCGTGTATAAAGGACTGTAAGTTTGGAGGGCCCTTTGCTTTTGCATGCCCTAGACCAACAGCTTTCAACCTTTCTGACTGCGGCCCAAGAATGAAATATGTTTATGCTGCAGTCTAGTCCTCACGCCCACATATACATGCATGAGTATACATGTAGATCCATATATGTCTCTGATGCAAAAGTATCATGAAACACTACTTACCCTCACTACATACAACATAAAGGGATTAGGGAAGGAAACATACATTTTAACTCTTCCATCCAAAGAGATACTTGGCATCTGATAAACTCTAACCATGTGACCTCCCACTGTTATTTGAAATCAGAAGCATGGCCGCAGCTGCTGGCCCCAGAGTTCAAAGAGAAGGGCAACAGCTTGTGATGGTGCCCACAGAAGAGGGTGGGACAAGTGCGGGCCTGCCTGGCCCACTTTCCTTCTGGGAATCAATTTGAGGTATGAAGGGAAACTGACAGCGGCCTCTTGGCAGAGTACTAAGTCCAGGTGGCATGATCATCTGTTGCTCACCTCCCTGGGCCCTTAGGACAAGGAAACCGGGGCTCTGCTGAGAAAAACAATTATCATGGTCTGCTGTGGGCTGTCCCTACAGTGGCACCTATGGTGAGGGGCGGGTCAAGGTGAGTTTGGGAAAGATGGCCCTGTGGAATCTAACAGCAGTTGATCATTTAGCCCAAGATGGGTCACTTAAAGTCATGATAAAGCCAAGGCGGGGCACAGACACAAGGGACGGGGAAAGCAAGGAAACATCAATAAGATGGGCAAAGAAAGCAAAATACTATGGATGACTCACAGGGTCTCATTTTATCCATCCTAGGGAGGTCAACATAGTCATTAAGAAATTCAAATTAAATACACAATAAGGTGCCATTAGGCCCCTTCACAGTAGCTACACACACACACATACACACACACACTCACTCAACTGATAATGCCAAGTGTTGGTGAAGATGTGAAGCAACCAGAACTCTCATACATCTCTGGTGGGGATGCCACTTTAGAAACACATTCAATCCCACAATCCTACTCCTAGGTGTATAACCATGAGAAATAAAAAAAAAACTTATGTTCTGGTGAATGTTTATAGAAGTTTTATTCATTAGCTCACAGAACTGGAAACAACTTAAATGTCCTTCAACTGCTGAATGAAGGGATAAACTAGGGCATATCCACAAATGGAATATTACTCAGCAATAAAAAAGGAATATCTACTGATATTCAACAACATGAATGGATCTCAAATGCATTATTATTTTTTTTTAATTTTTTAAAAATGTTCTTTTTTACATTTTATTTATTTTTGATAGAGAGAGACAGAGCACAAGTGGGGGAGGGGCAGAGAGAGACGGAGACACAGAATCTGAAGCAGGCTCCAGGCTCCGAGCTGTCAGCACAGAGCCCGACATGGGGCTCAAACTCAGGAAGGGTGGGATCATGACCTGGGTCGAAGTCGGACGCTTAACCAACTGAGCCACCCAGGCGCCCCTTAATTTTTTGAAGTTTACTTATTTATTTGAGAGACAGAGAAAGAGAGAGAGAGAGCGTGCGCACAAGTTGGAGAGGCACAGAAAGAGAAGGAGAGACAGAATCCCAAGCAGGCTCCACAGCATCAGCACAAGGCCCAATGTGGGGCTTGAACTCACAAACCGTGTTATAATGAACTGAGCTGAAATCAAGAGCTGGATGCTTAACCAATTGAGTCACCCAGGAGCCCCTCAAATGCATTATTCTAAGTAAAAGAAGCCAAATTCAAAAGGCTATCTACTGTATAATTCCAGTGACATGAAAATCTAGAAAAGGTGAATCAGGAGAGAGAAATAAATCAGTGATTTAGGGTAGGAGGATGGTTGACTACAAAAAGGAAATATTTTGGTGTGACAGAACTGTTCTCTATCTTGATAATGATGATAGTTACACAACTGTGTATCCCTGTCAAAACACATAGAACTGTATACCAAACAGGGTAAATTTTACTATACATAAATTATACTTCAGTTAAAAAAAAAAACATAAATGTGAAAAATTGCATAGTGGAAAGAGCCTGGGCTTTTTAATCAAATAGACATGGAATGGTTTAAACACAGCTCCACCATTTTACTATCTGTATGATCTCAGCCAAGTTACTAAATTCTCTGCATCTCTGTACTCTCATAGGCACAAGGGAGAATGATACCTGCCACAAAGAGATAGGGCAATTGATAAATAAGAAAAAGTATATACATTATTTAGGGTTATGCAATTCAGTACCATGGCCACTAACTACATATGATTACTGAGCACTTGAAATGTGGCCGGTGGGACTAAGGAAATGATTTTTAACTGTATTTGATTTTAAGCAATTTAAACTTCAATTTAAAAACTGACACCCAATTCTGTTATTGGCAAACTTTAAGTATGTTTGGAATAACTTGGGTATGTGAATCTTCTTTTTCTACTGTAAATTTTATGAAATGTAAATACTGATCAAGTATTTCTGATGAAAATTTAGCATAGGAATTGAGATGTGTGGGAAGTGTAAAATACACCCTGAATTTTGTAGACGCAGTATGGAAAAATATAAAATATCTCATTAGTATTTTTCAAATGGAACACATACTAAAATGATAATATTTTAGATAATTTTGTTACATAAAACATATTATTACAATTAATTTCACCTGTTTATTTTTACTTTTTAAAATGTGAGTAGTAGAAAATTTAGAACTGCATCTGTAGCCTGTATTATATATTTATTCAACAATGCCGGTCTAAGGCATTGTCTCATATGCTGTTGTTATTATTATGATGAGGTACAAGTTGGATGCTTAATATCCAGGAAAATATTGAAAAAAAAAACGCATCCGACTAGCAGCTCAGAGCATGTTTCTGTAATATAATTGAGGGCGTTGAAAAGGATATTTGTTTCTTGATTTATCTGTGGAAAGCAACTGAGAAGCAATGAAGTTTAGAGTTAGTAATGTGTGATGTAAAGAAACCACAACAAAGCTCTATGTGAAACGAGTATCACAGAAGAATGGTGAACACACATAATAGATTACATTCATTGTCAACACCAGACTTGTTTTGATGGAACAGGGTCTGACACCTTAAAAAACATTATTATTTGTCCTTCAAGAATTATTTTCTCACCTGATTATGTAATTACAGCCATGAAAATATTGTACTTTGAAGCAGGGATTAAAGAATGAGATGGGACTCTCTACAGTAGGAGACTGCTCCAACAGACCAGGAAACACACAATGTCTCTGCTCTACTTGGTTTTAGGACATTCAGTGGGGTGGATTCCCATTGGTTTCCAAGGTCTTTTAGAGACAAGACCTGTAAGGTGAATTCTCAAGTAAGTTCTCATTTTCTTTGTCTCCTTTCCGCGGTCAAGAAGAAGCTTGAGAGGGCCACATGCAAAATAGAGTGATACACTAGTAAGTAGATTTAAGTGGCTGTGCTCATTCTGAGCCACCTCACATCCATATTACCTAAAGGCATCCCTGACATTTCAGACAAGGTTAAACAGGTATAATACCCTATTACATTATAATATAAAGTTAGACATTAATGTGGCATAGGGGACTATGTCATGCATCTAAATATCATTTTTTAGGTATGTAGATGTAGGGGAAAAACACAGAGAAATGTTAGCCCATCAAATAAATGTGCAGCTCTTCAATCCAGCTCTTTACTAGTATAGTCACAATATTTATCCCCAGTGTTTCCAAAAATCTCTCCACATTCCATGAAAATGGGCATCTACTCATCAGACTCTAGTTCTCGTCTCATGCTGGGATTCCACCAGACCTGTCTTTCTCTCAAGCTCCAGTAATTCATCCTTTAAGCCAACTCATTTAAAGGACTCCCCAAATTCCTCAAGTTAGAAGTAACCTTCCTCCTTATTGATCCTACAACATGGAAAATCATAGCCTTAATACAAGTTAGTCTATGATCACTACCCTAATAGAATCACATATCTTTCCAGTAGATTGTGAGTCTCATGAACTAGCCACATCTCATCAAACAAAATACACTCTATGAAAGTGTATTCAATTTAGTTGAATTGAATGTGAAAGCTTACTAGTTTTCCCAGCTGCACTACTCAAGGGCATTCAGAGTCCAGAAAAATTATAGTCTCTCTGCTAACTGGCCATATGGTACACTATCTCAGTTTCTGTGAGAATCTCCAGTGAAGAAGGTTAAAAACTAATGACCCCTAGAGACCAATTAAATTTAGCTTTATCTCCAAATCACAGAATGCATCTCCAGGTGCAAAACAGCATCACCCTCTAAAAACCTTAATATGGTCATAGTCTAGGTAGCGTGAGGATACAATTTATTCCCTTGGTATTAAATGCCTTATAGAATCTGAAATCCAACCATTTATCTGGCACTCATTCTCGTACCTGACAATAATCTATTCTATGCAATTAGATTGGCTAGTTCATGGTCTTGCAAATCTACACTATCCATCTAGTTCTTGGCTCCTGCCACTCTCAAAATATGGAATGCTTTCTACTTCTTCCTCCCCAGGGCAAAAAGACTTATAATAAGATTGGTAACATTGCAAAAGAATAACTGGGCATGTATGGCTCATCCCCATGTTCACTATTTTAGGCCTCTGCCTGCAAAGATCACATTCTCTATATCTCACTGCAATGATGTTACAGGAAGAGGCTTCCACAGAAGAGCATTTACTAATTGTGCATGTGACTGGATGGGTGTATCCAGTTCTGGGGTGCAGTATTAGCAAGCCCACTCCCTCCTACATAACTTTTAAAAAGAAGTAACACTGACATCTGATCTCCAATTCTCTCACCCTTTGTCTCTGTCTCAACTGATTCCAATCTGGGCAGGTAAAAAAGGAACTTCGTTCAGTGACTTCCTCAAAGTCCAACAAGCTACATGGCCAGCTTCCTGAGGGTACGAACTAGTATCTCTCCTCCCTTGCTCATGGGCTTTAACACAAAGTAGGGGCACAATGAACCTTGATAAAATTAAATGGAAAACGAGCTCAACAGAACTGGTTTTAGAGAAGTCGCCTTGCCTAGTATGTCTTGCTTCTCTATAGATAAAATGACACCATGCATTTTTCCCAATAAAACTGAAAATGCAAGACTGCCTTCAGCAAGACAAAAGAGATTACATGTATCTAGGCACATTCTTCACTTTAATCCTTGTTCTACTTCAGATCAGAGTGGCTCACTATTCACAATGACCAAGGGGTTTTAGGTGCCTTTATTAGGAAAGGAACAGCACAGTGCCAAACTCACCTGACTTATCAAAAGGACCAGAGACACAGGGAGTTCACAATTGAAAGATCATCTGCAGCAATGCCTACTCTGTCCTACTGGAGTCTAACTGCAGGAGTATGAGTAATCCTCTCACCTCGATAGCCTCACTTACGCAAATAGGAACTTGGTTTGGAATGTTGGTTGGAATGGCCTGAGTCCTGGGAACATTTCATCCAAACCTTCCCACTAGATGTGACTTACTGCCCAATAACAATGTATATTTCTTCTTCCAGGTATGAATAGAGGCATGCAAATGTAAGCTTCCCAAAGCCCTTTACACACCTTAGTCATCTTTGCCCATTTTCATGGGCAAGAACTCTGAGAAGAAATCTGGACAATTTTCCAAACTGGGACCTTGTTTGTTAAGGGAATTCTTTCAGTACTTGTCAACTACCTCCTAGGAAATCACAGTTATTTCTACTGATTTTGTTTTTTACACCCAATGACATTCACTTCACCCCAGACCTTTGTGTAATCCTGCCTAACAAAATAACTAGAATCGTATATGTTTCCACTGCTCTCAATAACTGAAGAGCCAACTTAGATACCAATACAGGGATGCTGGAAGTTTGACGGGCGCTGTTCAGAAGAGATCACTGCAAAGTAGAAGCCCCTGCACTGATCCCTCTTTTCTAAAAGCTGCTCCCACTCCCCAAAGATGAAAACTCCTAAGGGAGCAGCTCACGCATTCCATCTGAAGCTACCACTCATGATAGACAACTTCCCCCTCCACAAATGAATGTCCTCAACCGGTGTAACACGTGTAGGTTGACCACTAGTTACGAGTGAATGCTGGATAATAAAATACATCCCTTTACTCAAATAAATCCATCATACCAAGGTGGGCACTGTGGCCAGGACCATCAAAGGTCATACACAGCCACTAGAGATATAAAAAAGTACCATAGTCTTAGGGGCACTGAAACAATTAGTTTTTTTTTTTCTCTAGTTCCTATGAGGAGTCACTTGTTTTCCTAGATAAATTATTCTTTAACTGGTGATCACATTTAAAAACAAACCTCAATATAACTGAAAACTCAGTAAGGTGATGCTGATATTAAACAACAATAACAACAACTCAACATAAGTCAAGGCCCGTTCTTCCCTCATGCGCAGAGGTTGGTATCTGGTGGCATTTTAGGGAAACCCTCATTCCAAGCGCTGATATTCACTTTTATTTTCCTATAAAATTTGTTCATAGGATGGAATTTTCCAAATAACATATATAAGTAGATACGTGCCTCCACTCTGAGTCCATAGAGTTGAAAGGGGAACTTAAGTGAGCCTATCTAGGTCAAATACCTGCATGTCTGGCTTGTAATCATGCTTATACACACAAGAATATCAACTTCAGCTACCATTTGTTAAAGCTCACTGAGTCAACCACCACACTGGATGCTCTACATACATTATCTCTCCTTCTCACAACCACCTCATTAGGCAAATATTTTACAGGTGAGGAAGTTGAGGCACAGGTAAGTTAGTCCCTTGCCTCAAGTCACACAATTGCTAAAGGGTGCAGCTGAGGTCTGAACCCAGGACTAGTTGACTGCAATGGTTGTGTTTATACCATTAAAATTCATGAAAAAGAGAGGCAGATCCAGGTGCAGGATAGTCTTGGCTACATACCTCATACAATTCAATAATAATGTTTCCCATTAGACCTCGGCTACTCTTAATGTTCTCCATGGCCAGGGTGAAGTAGATGCCACGCGTGTCTGAGATGTAGAGGTTGTACGTGTCATTCTGGTTCCATTCTTGGACGGCTGCAAACACTTGGTTCTCATCGGTACTGATGATGTGCATGTCCTGTAAGAAGATGGAAAACTTGTAAGGACTCAGATCTCCATATCTCTCTGCCCAGTGGGACCCAGAGTAATTACCATGACTTATTGAGAGGTTGAGAAAATGCCTGAGTTATAGGCAACGTTAAACAATTCTGTGTCGGACCAAGGCTATATATTAAGAGCTTTGCGATTTCTGTTCCTTGCTAAGTGACAGTAAGATGGGTGTAAGGGGCTTTGGTGGGTATCATTTTCTATGGCTCCAAGGGATTCATCCACTTTCATTTTTTAGTTTTATATCTGAGAGTTAGTGTTAGTGCTAACAGAAACATACAGCCCTGCAAGAGGAAACACACATGCAAAGAATACAGGGCTTATTCCTTCTTTAGATCTTCATTTATGTTTTCAAACTTTTATTGTAGTGGTTTTGAAACTTGTCGTTGGAATCTTCAGAGTCATGGGGATTGCAAGAAGGATGGCATGGAGGCATAGCCAATGAGTGGGATTCTGGGCTTCCAACTCTGTTTCAACCAGAGCAATACCACCTGAATCTGTTTTATACTGGAGTCCCATGTAATATTTTGGGAGTAAAAGGTGAGGGAGGTTCTGCTGCTAATAGCATAATATTTGAAAATCACAGATATGGCAGAAAGGATACTCAACCTGGAATTTAGTGTTCTGGGTCATAATAGAAACTCTACTAAAAGTTAGCTATATGGTGTGGAATGTATCTGGGTCCCTGAGGTTTAATTTTCTCACCATAATACTGAAGAGGTTGGGCTACTGATAAAAAGAATAGCTAACACCTGAGCACTTATTCTAAGTCATCTAAATGTATTATTTTAGTGAAAAATCCAAATAATTCTACAGTGGAGGCAGTATTATTCCCATTTTACTGAGGAATAAACTAAGGTACACAGAGGTTTGCCAGCTTGCTTCATATTTATTACATAGCTAGTCAGAGGAAGAACCAAGTTTTGAACCTTTGTAATAGGAGTCTAACCTGTTAGCTTCTAAGCATTTGGACAGACAGCCTCCAGATCAGAAGTTGTAATCCAAAGACCCATGAGATGAATATGAATCACAAATATTTGGTTCAACCACAGTCTCTGTTCAATACCTGACTGCGCAGTCTTTTAGGTAAAGTCAGCACTCCCGAAGTCTCAGCCTCAAGTACCCAAATGTTCTTATGACCGGCCACTTACATATTAATATCAACTTCCTGATCTCTGAAGTCAATTTAGTCTGCATACCTGGACTAGATCATTTCTAAAATCAAATCTAATCAGTTCACAATTCAAAACAATTTATAAAAGCCAGTTTTCATATGTAGCTAGGCACTATACAAAGATTATCACAAACTCAAGTCCTCCTCTAGGGAATTTGCCCTGTCAGGAGGAGATGTTGACACAGATGAACACTTGACATAATGGAAGCAGTTAAAAAATGCATTAATATACAGATATATATTGCAAAGAGTAATGATATCCTGGGAAAGCAGGAGAGGACCCTTGTCACTGTGGTGGCAAGCACTCATAGTAGGGGCACAGGCAATTGGAGTTGACAGTAAGTAAATCACCAAGCTGGGTCTAGCTTTTACCTTATTTGGCCAACCTTTCCCAGAAATGATTTCAGCAGCAAAAGGAGGTAGCAATGTCTATAATGACACAACTATGGAAAGCTTCTCTCAGGATGATTTTAAAAAAGAGAAGCTCATTTGATTTGGACAACCAGGATGTGGGAAAGTGAGAAGAATTCTGGATCTTTTTATTGGTGAATCTGTCAGATCTCAGCCTCTGGCCTTGAACTCCCTAGGTCGCCTTGACTAAGACCTCAGTAGCTCATTTGTGCTTACGCACCTTATAGAATTACAGGTTCCCGCTGAGCTTCTTGAAAATGGAAATAAGGCTTCCTTTTAAAAACCATGTGATGAAATTGTGTTGTGTTGGTGTGGAATGAAAGCCCAAGAACCCGGCAGGAGGGGAAATAGCAGCTGCAGGAAATACGAATTAAATTCACTTACCCAGTTAAAAATGCAATAGAAGTGCCGGGCTTTTCCCAGATGTTTTGGTTATAAAAATGAATGAGCTAAGTTATTTTAGACTAAACTAATGTAAAATAAGTGGAAAAAAACAACTTAAAACACTGGGGCATGGTCAGGATTAAAGGCAGCCAGATTTGCTGTGAATGCATCTTAGTTTGGAGCTGTACTGGCGCGTATCACCTGGCCAACAGGTATTGCAGTCTCTGGGAGAGACAGCGCTCTCTAGCACCTAGGATTCTGGGAAGTCTGCTTGTGAAATTCTTAATTCCCCTATGTCACTTAGCTAATAAATGATATTACTAAGATTTAAACCCAAGACTATCTGAATCAAGAAGCTAGCCTCCGTATCAGTGGGAGTATAACTCAATATGCATCAAAATTACCTGCAGATTTTAATAGCATGTAGACTCACATGTCCCACTGCCTACAGTTCTGATTCAGTACATCTGGCTTTGGAGCCTTAAATTCTACCATCTGAACCAGCCTTGCAGGCAATCCAGGTGCATGCAGTCTGGGGAATCAGTCTTTGAAAAAGCTCTAAACTATGTGTCCTCTCTCCAAATAGATCTTACAGTTGAATAGGGATCAACCAATAATAACCAGAATAGTAAATCTTCAAGAACAATAAAAGCATTATCAGGATTATTGGTCTAATAGGGATCTGATGATAATAAAGCATATTTCTTGAATCCTGTGATCTCAAGCTAACCCCAAAGCACGTGTCACCTCCTTCTAAGACAATGAAGACATTTTTGCTACTCCTGAGAACATGCAGGGAGAGATCTGATCAGTGATGAAGAGAGAAACCCAAGAGGGGAAAAATCAGTAAGTAAATTCTGATTGGGACTTTACTAAACTGGAATTTGGGCAGCATCAGATGTTACCACCTTCATGTTTTTATTTGGAAAACATGATAAGTAGCATTCCCTCTAAACCCTTCTACCATTAATTTGGAAGAATCATAGTTGCCTTTCACAAACCTAAACGTGCGACTTCATAGGTGAGCAGTGGTGGAAATACTTCCCCGTGACTGAAACATTTTCGTGTAATCTGGGCCGACTGTTACTTCATTCACTGTAAAAACACATATGATATTCAGCATCTGCCACGTGCCAAACGTTATAATAGGAATACAGAGAAGAAGGTGTAGAACCTGACCTCAAGCAGATGTCCAATGGTGGTGGGGACATCCCTCACTCCTGGCCTTTTTGTTTTTAAAAAATTTTTAGGGGCGCCTGGGTGGCGCAGTCGGTTAAGCGTCCGACTTCAGCCAGGTCACGATCTCGCGGTCCGTGAGTTCGAGCCCCGCGTCGGGCTCTGGGCTGATGGCTCAGAGCCTGGAGCCTGTTTCCGATTCTGTGTCTCCCTCTCTCTCTGCCCCTCCCCCATTCATGCTCTGTCTCTCTCTGTCCCAAAAATAAATAAACGTTGAAAAAAAAAATTAAAAAAAAAAAATTTTTAATGTTTATT